AAAAAAAAAAAAAAAAACTTTTATGACTTTATATCAAAAGTCTTAAATGCATTCATAAGGGTAACCCATATTCTATTTCATTATCTGCCCCAGGTTGTTTCAGAACTGGCATTGGGAGGCTCCACTTATACATCTGTCTGTCTGTCCTTCCTTCATTCACTTGCTGGGTAAATGCTTGTCAGCTCTCTTCATACTTGGCCTGAGGTGCAGGGAAGCTCCTTATTCCTCTCCAGGACTTTTGTCATTTGCATTCCAATCTTGGAAGATGCTTGAGTGAGGCCATGTAGAGTGGAATGAAATGAAATGAAATGACCCAGCCCAGGTTGCTGGGATCACACCAGGCATGGACACCCGTACTGGGATGCCCACTGGGTTGTCCAGTCTCACACTCACAGGGATGCTTCAGCTACACACTTCACTCTTCTCTGTTTTCTTGTCCAGCTGAACTTAGATGCTTAGCTTCTTCCCATTAACTTATTTAGGCAATTTTTATGTACAGGTAAACCTCGTTTTATTGCACATCATTTTATTGTGCTCACAGATATTATATTTTTTACAAACTGATGGGTTGTGCCAGCCCTGTGTTGACCAAGCATGTTGGCACCATTTTTTCCAACAGCATGTGCTCTGTGTCTATGTGTCCCATTTTTGTCATTCTCACAATACTCCAAACTTTTGCATGATGTTGTTGCATACTTACTAGACAATAGTATAGTGTAAACATAGCTTTTATATGCACTGGGAAACCAAAAACTATATAATTCACTTTATTGCAATATTTGCTTTATTGCAGTGGTCTGGAACCCAACCCACAGTGTCTCTGAGGTTTGCCCGTGTGGACTTTATCTTTTAGAGCAGTTTGATTTTATAGCAGAACTGTGCAGTGCCCCATACACTGTCTCCCCCTGCACACCATTCCCGTGATGTTAACGTCTTGCGCTCCTGTGGGCCATTTGTTACACTTGACGAGCTGATGTTGACACATGATTACTAACGGAAGGCCATAGTTTACGTGAGGGTCCACTCTATGCTTTGTTTAGTCTTATAGATCTTGGCAAATGCATGTCAGGTACCATTCATTACAGTGTTACACAGAATAGCTTCACTGCCCTGAACATACCCTGTGCTCCCCCATCCCTCCCCCCTCCCTTGAACCCCAGCAACCATGACCCTTTCACTGTCTCCACCATTGTTTCCAGAATGTCATGTCGTTGGAATCACATGGTGTTAGCTTTTCACACTGGCTTCTTGCACTTAGCCATGTGCATTTAAGCTTCCTCATGTCTTTTCTGCATTGGACCCCTCATTTCTTCTTATTGCTGAATCATACTCCATGGTATGGATGGACCACAGCTGCTTTATCCATCCACCCATTGAAGAACATCTTGTTGTTTCCAGTTTTTCTGCCCACACTTTTGAGGTGCTCAGGTTAGCAATCTTGCAAATATCTTCATTATAAGAGTCACCTGCCAGTTGAGTCACCCCTTGAAACTCTCAGGGAAGGATTTATAATGAGCTCTCAAGCCACACTGTTGAGAGGACCTCCTTGGCCCTCACAGACAGCCTCACATTTGCCAGCTCATGTGGGGACCAGGTTCCTGCCCTCATGGCAGAGCTGGCAAGTTCCCAGATGATGGCTGCGAGGGCAGGTCTGTCCTGGGTTTGACCCTTGCTCTGGCTTTCTTCCAGCTCTGTCTTTGTTATTGAAGTGGAAAGGACAGTGGGGTCTCTCTTCCCTAATGCTGACCTTGACTGACCACCTCCTCGGTGCAGATGTTCTTCTCCTGCACACGGCTCGTGGTGTTTAACACTCAATCCACAAGCAGGCAGTGTTTCAGCTCCATCTGAAGACAAGGGCACTGAGGCTCAGAGTGAGGAAGGTCACACAGCTGGCAAGAGGAAGACCACCTTCAGAGCCCCTGAGCTCACCTTGGAAGTTCCTTCAAAACCAGATTTGGGTCTCTGATGGGAAGAGGCATGTGTTTTTTCCGCTTTAACATGATAAGCAAAGATATCACTTTGAACACTAAGGTGAACCTGACCCAAGCTATGGTGTTTTCAATCACCTCATATGCATGTGAAAGTTGGATAATGAATAAGGAAGGCTGAGGAATTGATGCCTTCGCATGGTGGTGTTGGTGAAGAATACTGAATACATCACTGACTGCCAGAAGAACAAACAAATCTGTCTTGCAAGAAGTGCGGCCAGAAGGCCAGAACACTCCTTCGAAGGGAAATTGGCAGGTGTTGTCTCACTTACTTTGGACATGCTATCAGGAGGGACCCGTCCCTGGAGGACATCATGCTTGGTAAAGTAGAGGGTCAGCAAAAAAGAGGAAGACCCTCTGTGAGATGGAGTGGCACAGCAGCTGCCACATGGGCTCAAACAGCAATGATTGTGAGGCTGGCACAGGACTGGGCAGAGTCTTGTGTTGCACATGCGGATCAGTTGGAGCAGACTTGACGGCACGTAACAACAATATTAACAACAATATGGTACCACCTAGACGTAGCTTCTGCAGAGGCAGGGAGGCTGTTGTAACTGATGGATTTCATGGCTCAAGCCAGTGAGCAATCAGATAAAGATTTTCCTCCTGAAAGTGGAGCTGGTGCCTTCATTAGAGCCACGTAGTCCTGGCTGGGCATCGCAGACAAGACCAGACCATGTGTCCTGTGATCTTGTTGGTCCCCACGTGGCCTCAGCTCTGACATGGTGCAGTGAGGAAGGGAGGGGAAGGGCAGGTCATCGGAGGCCTGTTAGCACTGGCTGCGTTCCTGTGCAGGTGGTGGAAACCAGGCTGTGGTCTGACCTGGCTCGGACACTCAGCCTTGGCCAGGGCCAGCCCCCTCCTTGCTCTCAGCCTCAGCTTGCTCTGTGTCAATGGGGCTCCTGACCTGGCTGCCCTCTGGCCTCTCCCCATTCCAGCAGCTGCAGGTGTGGATGGTTTGGGAACCCAGGCCTGCAGAGTCTGCATTTTGACAAGTCCTGGGCTGAGGCTGAGGGGCTCAGGGGTCAGGGTCAGGCAGATGAGGCAGGAAAGGTTTTTGTTTAGGAGCCTATTGTCGGGTTCAGTGGGAAGATTATGAGTGAGTCTGGGGGCTCTGGTTCCCACTGAGGACCCTTCCTGCGCTCAGACTTTTAAGGGAGCTCCTGAGTGGTGCAAATCACACATTCACCTGCTATGTGGAAGGTTAGTGGTTCAAGTCCTCTCAGAGACACATTGGAAGAAAGGCCTGGTGGCCAGCTTGTGAAGAGCCAGCACCGAGAACCCTGGGGCACAGCTGTGCTCTGACCCACAGAGAGGCCCGTGAGTCGGGGTTGACACGATGGCAAAAAGCTTTTGGATTTTAAATTAAATAAATTTAAAAGTGAGCATGTGAACTCGTTCAATGAATGTGAATGATAGCACTGCCTTTGGCCGTGGTCATCCAGAGATAACCAGCCAGAATCCCACACACACACGCCAGGGCAACAGGGGTGCTTTCGTTTTTCTAGCGTTTTCTTATGGTTGGGGAGAAAGTTTACAGAGTGCGCCAGTTTCCCTTCCACAGTTTGGACATTCTGTTTGGTGACATTGGCTGCAGGCCCCTCAGAGTACCAACTCTCTTCCCACCTCCTCCCCGGGTCCCCATTTTCATCCCAGTCCCATCCGTCCCTCTTTCCTGACTTTCTTGTCTTCTGAGCTTTGTTTTTGGCAAAGGCCACTGGGGAATGCATTTTGTAGGTGACTGAACTTCAACTCTAGAATCTGACCGCACAAGAAAGCAGCGTCTGTGCCTCTGTGCCATTTTGCAGGGTGTCCTTGGCCCACTTGCCACCCTCAGCGGCTCCATTTTCTAATCAGGGCTCAGGGTCAAGGTGGAAACCAGACTGTGGGGGCCCTGGCTGGGTTTGCGCTGGAAGGGGCCGGCCTGGGCAGGCCCTGTAACCGCCGTCCCACCCGCAGCCAACAACATCTGCTTCTATGGGGAGTGCTCCTACTACTGCTCCACAGAGCATGCTCTGTGCGGGAAGCCCGACCAGATCGAGGGCTCGCTGGCCGCCTTCCTGCCTGACCTGTCTCTGGCCAAGAGGAAGACCTGGAGGAACCCTTGGCGGCGCTCCTACCACAAGCGCAAGAAGGCAGAGTGAGTGCCACTGGGAGCAGTGAGTGGGCGGGACCCAGGGACCAGCCCTCTGGCCTCCTTCGTGGCTCACGGGTGGCAGCGGGCAGAGAAGGGGCACGGACAGCCCTGTCTGATGCCTCACGAGACACGGATGCAGGCTTCCCAGAGCCCTGGACACCCACCCTCTTGGTGTCTGAATAGAGCTTTCCTCTTGCCCACTTGTCCCTCGAGTAGTGGCACTGTCCTGTCCCTTTGGCTGCAGGGAGCAGGCCTGCATTTTGACTGAGCGTGGTCTTGGGCCTGCTTCTAGTCCAGGACCCAGTGGGGTGGCCACTTCCCTCCCGGCCCTGGCCCAGGTTAATGAGGCCTGGTCTGCTGCCAGTCGTATTTATCTACGGACAAGCCCTGGGTTGCGGTGGGAGTCCGCTGGCTCTGGGCCCAGGTGTGGGGGGCAGAATTTGGCCTGGGCCCGACCCCACAGAGGAGGTGACAGAGGCTCACACTGGTCTCCCCACAGGTGGGAGGTGGACCCTGACTACTGTGAGGAGGTGAAGCAGACGCCCCCCTATGACAGCCCCCAGCGCATCCTGGACCTCATGGACATGACCATCTTCGATTTCCTCATGGGTATGGCTGGTATGGGCGGAACTTGGTGGTGGGTGGGGTCTAAACTGGGGCGGAACCACCACCCCTTATTGTGGTGGCTTAGATGGGGACAAAGCACCCTGCTGTGGGTGGGATCGGGACCCCCCCAGTGGCTCTGCCAGTTTGTGGACACACACAACTCCCTGGTTTATTCTCTCCCAGGAAACATGGACCGTCACCACTATGAGACCTTTGAGAAGTTTGGGAACGAGACATTTATCATCCACTTGGACAATGGCAGAGGGTGAGCCCACTGACTTCCAGACCCTGGGAGAGGCTGGCAGACCAGCACCCCATTATCTGGGGACAAATACTCCTATCCATCATACGGGCCCATGTGGTGCTGCTCACACCAAGCCTCTAACCCTCTGTGTGTGTCCTCATGGGTGTCACCTGTGTGCCCCCCGCAAAAGTGCCCTCTACATGTGTCTCTCACATGTGTGTCATCTGCATGCCCCTCACACACACGTCCTCTGTGCATGCCCCTCACACACACGTCCTCTTGTGTGCCCACCACACCATGTACCCTCTGTGTGCCCCTGTACACATGCCCTCTGCATGCCCCTACACGTGTGCCCTATGCTTGTAGCCCTGCCCATATGCCCTCTGTGTGTGCCCTCTGTGTGCCCGTGCCCATGGCCCTCTGTGTGTGCCCCTGCACGTGTGTCTTCTGGGTGTGCCTTCCGTGTGTGCCACTGCATGTGTGCCTTGTGTGTTCCTGAAGCCACCCTATCTACAGGTTTGGGAAGCACTCCCACGATGAGCTCTCCATTCTGACGCCTTTACAGCAGTGTTGCAGGTACAGCCCCCACAGCCCTGCCACCTGCAGAGAGGAGGTGTGTCCTCAGCCCTGAGCCCGATGTGCAGTGACCCTGCACCAGGGCCCACATGTGCCTGTGCCCATCAGTGCCTGGGGAGGCTCAGAGCCCTTTCTCAGGATTCACCGTACTATGTGACCTTAGCCATCCAGGAAACAAGGTACCATCCCATCTCACAGACACAGACATGGAGGCCCAGAGAGGGTGCTTGCTCAGAGTGCGTCAGGTGGTAACAAAGACATCACCTCCCTGGCACTCCCCATCTCACAGATGGGGAGCAGGCATTTGCCGTTCTCGGAGGGCACATCTCAGAGCTTGCACCTGCCCAGGCAGATGTGTGGGTGAGGGGGACAGGCCCCAGGCCCCACCACGGATGTTTCCCCCTGCTGCCCTGCATAGCTGACCCATGTCCACTCACACACTCGGGAGCAGGGGTCCAGAGCCCAGCCCTGATGGAGCATCTGGTCCCAAGCCAATGTCCAAGCCCAGCTTCCAGCAGCCGGGGGAGCCCCGTCCTCCACCCCCCTGCAGAAGCCTGACCTACCTCCCCTCCCCAGGATCAGGAGGTCCACCTACCTGCGGTTGCAGCTCCTGGCCAAGGAGGAATATAAGCTGAGCCTGCTGATGGCCGAGTCTCTGCGGGGGGACCTGGTGGCCCCTGTACTCTACCCACTGCATCTGGAGGCGCTGGACCGGCGGCTGCGCCTGGTGCTTCAGGCTGTGGGGGACTGCGTGGAGAAGGGCGGGATCCAAAGCGTGGTGGAGGATGACCTGGGCTTGGACCGCACGGCCACTGCCACCATGGCCACCTCTGCGAGGTAGTGACCCGCCTGCCCACCACGTGGCCACCAGGGACCAAGCAGAAGGGTCGTCCTACACGAGGCCATGCAACCTGGTGAATTCAGTGAATTCAGAGATGGGCAGCAACAGACCCTGAGGTCCGCCAGTGGGAAGGATGGGCCGTCTGACTCTCGGCCGCTGCACCCCCTTGTAAAGGGAAGGCAGGCTTTATCTACGATTTTATATTTATAAGTAGTGTCTGTATAGACGAGACGCATGTACAGGCCGCAGCACGTCCACTGTTAACCCAGGGGTCACTCCATCCATGGCTTCTGGGGCTCCCCATGCTGAGTGTCCCAGGTGCTGGAACCCCTTTCCTCCTGCCTTCCGGCCTCAGTGCTGCCAAGGTATGTCACACGGCAGAGAGGCCCCAGGTGGACGCCCCGGCCTGGTGGACAGGTGGACACAGCACGGTGTCTCAGTGTGATGCCGATCACCAGCAGCAGCCGGGCTGGTGGCCTTGCCTCTGATCAGCTTGGACAGCTCGTGTACATAGGCCCGTATGGGCCGCTGCAAGGGCAGCAGTAGGGAGGCCTGTGCAACCTTGTGTGGGGTGTTTTGGTACGTGGTGACCGTGCAATAAAGGTACAACAAGCGTGTGGGCCACCTTCAGCATCTGGGCGCAAACCTGCCCACCTGCCCAACCTCCAAAAATCCGGTCCTGGACAGAGATGTGGCCGGGAGCTGGGAGCCTCTGGGGAGCCAGAGGCGTTTGGAGGCTGATCTGGGCAGAGAGCAGCCGCCAGCCGCCAGCCGCCAGCTGCTCAGGGTCTGGTGCTCTGTGACGGCTGGGAGATGACTGGCCACAGGCTGGCACCCTGTGCGCCTTGGCCTCACGGGGCATTGGGTATTTACCCAGTGGGGGTGGGACGGTGGGGGTGGGCCAAGCTGGGGTGTGAGAGCTGCTAGGACCCCCACCAACATCTTCTCTCCAATGCTGGGCACAAGGCCCGCATCCTACTGGGGGCCTTGTTAGGGGCTCCTGGCTGCCCCACCAAGCCTATGAAGAGTCTTATAGGGTGCTGGTGCCATGCCAGCCCTTCACGGGGAACAGGGATGTCTGTAGGGTGCTCCACACACCTCAGGTCTTTGAGGAAGATAGTCCCCACGGGCCCTGGAGAGCCTGGCAGTCCTGGCCCCCAGTTGGGCAGGACCCCGTCTTTTCTGCCTTGATACCCTCCTCAGCTGAGATGATACTGATCTGCCCTCTGGTGGCCATGTGTGGAGACCAAGTCTTGACAAGGTCTCTGATGTCTCTGGATCCAAGTGAGCAGCTGTGTGTGCTGCTGTGCAGATGGGGAGAGTGAGGTTCAGGGAGAGGTGTCCCCCAGCCCTGAGTCAGGTTAGGGCTCCGGAGCAGCCAGACAAGTGTCCCCAGAAGGGAGCAGAGTCCCACCCTGGGCATCAAGCACCACGCACACATGTTGTAGGCAGGGCCACTGTTTCTCATCACAGCTCGGTTGATAAAGTGACCCCTTCTTTCTGTCTTCTGGATACTCAACATCCACCCCATGTCCAGCCCGCCCAGGACAGCAGACACAGCACGACTGTGCCTGCATGGCTTGTCCAGTTCTGGCCCCCGGAACTATCTCCCACATCACAGCTGCTCTGCCCTCCTGTGCCTGTATCTGTCCACGAGGCCCCCACTGGGCCCTGCTTCTGCCCGGACCCCTGCAGCTGGCTCAGGCCCAAGGGGTGATAGAGACAGGCAAGGCAGCTGCAGGGGGCAGATGTGGGGGTCAGCTGAGCCTCTTCCAAGAAGCAGGACCCAGTAACGGCCTGGGTCAGGCACGGGGAGCTGCCCCCTGGGGACAGGCCAGCTCTCTGTCCCCAAGGAGCATGTGAGCTTCCCTGAGGCTATCCAGGGGGCTGTGGGCTCAGGCTGCCATCTTTCCAGGGGCACTGCCACCTGCCCAGGGCCACATGGGCTGGGGATCCCGGGAATCTGAGGCCTAGAAGGGCAGTCACTGTGGTGCCTACCCACCTTCTGCCCAGGGTCACACATCCATTTGACAAAGAGCTACTGAGGACCAGCCGTGTGGCAGGCAGGGGACATAGAGGGGGCATAGAGGAGACCCAGACAACACGCCCGACTCCAAGAGGATGATATTAGTGGTACATTCCCGGCTCAGATGTTCACAGGCATGATAACACAGGCAGAAATAGTATTTTTCCAGAAGGAGGCTGGTGCTATAACTGCCCTGGGGTGAGGGGAACGCTTGTGGCGGGGGGTTAGGGTGGTATGAGACCTGTATCCTCTCTCACGAGGCAGAAGGTGAGAGAGAACATCGAGGCTTAAAAATAAAAAGTTTGAACATAGGTAAAAATGTGGAGGTAAATATAAAAATAAGGCAAAACAGACAAGACCGGGTGAGCCTGCTGCCAGAGGTTCCCACTAGGTCCTGGATACAGGTCGATGGGGGTAAGACCAGGTGAACCTGCTGTCTGTGGTTCCCATTAGGTCCGGATACAGGGATGGGGAGGGGTCTTGTCTTTTGAGGTCTGGCCTGTAGTTTGATTTTAGACTGTAAATTCATTCACTGACTATCCGATACCGAGTGCAAGGAGATGTTGGAGTAGAGCCTAAGCCCCTTGGAGTTCTAGGGCCAGCCAGCCCATGTCATCAACACTGTCCCAGGGCCCAGAGCAAGCCTGTGGCTCTCAGGGTGCAGCAAGCCTTTCATTCAATTTCTGAGTTATCTTTACTGTTCTATCCCACAAGTACACAGAGGTAGGCAGGAGTCTTTCCTGCTTTGCCCGTTCTGCCGCCATATATACCGAAGCTTAGGCTGGCAAAGGGCTTCCCTGAACTTAGCACAGGGACTGAGTGCCGTTCGGAGCAGGAGCCCAGAGCCCCTCCCTCCCTCAGCCCACCCACACGCCAAAGCTGTGGGCGGAAACAGACCCAGCCCCCCCACACCAGGGTGAACCTGGGGGTTGAGGAGGGGGACCTTTCTGGTCTTGACAGTGAAGAGAGAAGGCTTTCCGTGAACCTGCGAGAGTCAGGCTGCCCACGTTGTCCAGGAATTTGAACCTGGTTAAAACAAAAAATGGGGAAAACCAAAGAACGCATATGCCCTCCTCCAGTCTCTGCCCCAATGGCATTTGGGGGAATCAGGTGAACAGGGGTGGCTTCCTTAGACCAGAACCCCATACACATCAAGGGGCAGAAGCCCCAGAGCAGCTCTGTGGGCAGACAGATGGACAGGGAGTACCTCATCCTGAGTTACAATGAAAGAAGGAATGAATGAACACGTGAATGAGTGAATGCATGAGCATGATGAAGGACTCATGTGGTTCCTGACTTTACTGGGCACAAGAGACAAAACGTGAAGTGGGAACACCCAGACGTCCGTCAGCAGGTGAGGAGTAAGCACAGACGGTCCATCCCCACTGTGGGGTCTCATTCAGCCATGTAGAGGGATGGTGCAAGTTACCGCCTGGAAGACACCGTGCTGAGTGCCATGAGCAGACACGAAGGACAGGTACTGGCCGATCCCGCTCACACGCCACGTCTAGAGCAGGGCAGAGGCGTGGAGACAGTAAACAGCGGTCTTCAGGAGCTGGGGGAGGGGAAAGGGGTCACTGAGCTCCTACCAAGGGATCGTAATAGAGACGTGGAGACACTGGAGATGGTCACATGACATGACGAACATAGTTAATGCCATTGGACCAGATATGCAGAAAAGACGGAAGAGGCAGGACCCCACTACCCTCCTGGGCCTGTGTCTCCCCAAGGAGCACACAGGTGATCCTCACGTGGTTCTCCGCACATCCACCCATTACCAAGGAGAACGCTCTCTCCCAAGTCACTGTCCCCAGTACAGATAGGTGAGGGGGTGTTGGGGAGTCTTGCCTGCCCCAGGGCAGGGCCGGATGTGGGACAAAGAAGACTTCACTCCACTGGACCCTCCTCCGACATGTGGGCACCAGCACAGTGGTCTCCTTACTCTTCTGAGGGCTGCGAGGCGAGTCCGGCTGCAGTTGGAAGGAAGGGGGTCTGTGGGGCCTTAGAGCTGCTTGCAGGGACCCATGACCCCTAGCAACTGAGGGCAGTCACAGGGCATGGCACCCACAGGATCCCAGGTCAGGGGCACAGTGCCCACAAATGCCTGAATTGTGGTAGCTTGGGGGGCACGGATCAGCCAGCTCCTGCCCAAGGCCCCTCCTCCACCCTGTCCCCATGAGCGCTCAAGGACAGGGACAGAGCCCCTCAGCCCCTTCTCTCAGTGACTCAGCCCAAGAGGCATGTCCTGGGTCACCTGCTGGGGAAGGGCCCCAGGGGCCAGCTGGCCACCTGCTCATGGCTGCACCCCTCCTGCCATCTAGTGGCCACATTGAGAACAGCAAGAGCTGGACCTAGTCGATAAATTACCCTTAGGTGCCCTGGAATGGGTTCTGACTGCAGCGACCCCACACGCAACAGGACGGAACACTGCCTGGTCCTGCACCATCCTCACGATCCTTGTTATGTTTGGGGCCACTGTTGTAGTTGTTGTTGTTGTTAAGTGCCGTCGAGTCGTTTCCGACTCATAGCGACCCCATGCACAGCAGAACGAAACACTGCCCGATCCCACGCCAGTCCCACAATCCCTGCTATACCCAAGCCCATCATCGCAGCCACCGTGTCAATCCATCTCGTTGAAGGCCTCCCCCTCTTTCGTCGACCCTCCACCCTACCAAGCATGACATCCTTCTCCAGGGAATGGTCCCTTCTTACAACATGACCAAAATAGCTGAGACGAAGTCTGGCCATTCTTGCTTCCAAGGAGCATTCTCACTACACTTCCTCCAGGACAGATCAGTTAGTTCTTTTAGCAGTCCACGGTACTTTCAGCATTCTTCGCCAGCACCACAACTCAAAAGCATCAACTCTTCTTTGGTCTTCCTTATTCATTGTCCAGCTCTCACATGCATACAAGGCGATTGGAAATATCATGGCTTGTGTCAGGAGCACCTTAGTCCTCAAGGAGATACCCTTGCTCCTCGGCACTTGAAACAGTTCCTTCGCAGTTGACTTTCCCAATGCTACATTATTGCAGATAGTTATTCTTAATTTATGAACTCGTAATGGGGGTTAATGCAAGCTCCACGGCCCTGCACACCATTAAACACCCGCAGACATGCTACACACAGTAGGGAAATGGACAGACAGCTGTTAAAACTTCCCATGCTGCAAGCACTCTGGCCTTCCAAAAACCTCCTCCTCCAAGGTGCCACAGGCCTCTGCAAGGGCTCCCTGCCCTGGACCTCTCTGCCCCCACCCCTGCTCTCCACTAGGTTACTATGACTTATGTCCAAGGAGAATGTTCCTGGTCATTTGGCTGGGTCAGCCCCACATGTCCCCTCAGTGTGTTCTCTGAGCCTCTACCTCTGTTTATATCACACAACAGTTTGTCATCACACACATATTTCTGTGGGCTGTGCCCAACACACAACAGACCCTCATCAAATGTTATGGCGAGCTGTG